GTGAATATTTATGAATAATAAACAGAGAGTATATATAACGTGATAAACCAACCGATTACATTACAAGGAAATACCAATTATTGTATTACCAAATGGTTTTTGAATATCTTTCTTTTATTCGCTGCGTCGTACTTGTATGTTACCAACTCACGGTGAGGTATTCAGAGCTTGGACGTGACGGAGGGTTTAGGAGGTCTAGCCTCTCTTAACAAGCACTCTTGCGTCAATGACACAACCAGCTGTTTCACAAATTGAAGCATTTAGCAACTTGAATTTGATGCTTTTGAAACGATGTGCAAACTTCTATGATCTATCTATCGTGTCAAAATATATATTCTCGGCTTCATGTTTTTTGAAACACGCAAAAGGGTAGAAGAATACCTCTCCTTTTCTGTTAAACATTTCACCAGTGACAAAACCACGGGTCTCGTGCGCGGTTGGACTTACAGTCTGAAGAGTCATCAATGCAAGTGTTAGACGGCAAAGAAGATTATACACTAACATTAGATTATACTCAAGACTGATCTATATTCATCAGAAGAGAGGGGTCTAACTGTACCATGTCTTTTTAATGTTTAATGAAAAGTCAGTCAAGAGAAATCTCAGATTTCCACACAAGTGTCAGGATCACAAACTTTTACAGAGACTAATTAAAATCCTTGAGTTTGTGGGAAGTGGGAATAAAGAAATAATAACCTTAAGTAGGCTTAGCAGATCCCTAAACATGGATACTATAGATTTTTATGTTTCTTCTCTTTCTTGCATTAAGAAATACTAATATTTGTAATGTTCAGAGGAAAAAAGGTTGGAAGAAAGTACCACAAAAAGCAACCAGTCATCAGCTCTTAGAGGTCGGTGAAACCACATCCTGCAAACCAAATGAAGAAAAGTAAGTAATAATTACTGAAACAATGATTTGGTAGATCCCTGCTGGAACAATGTCTCAATGTAAAAAAAATAATAATAACAAACATACAAACTCATACTTCACCAAGAGAAAATAAAAAGCTTACGCATGGTCCAGGCTAAGTGCAGCAGATCTCAGACCCTTTCTGCGGTGAGGGTTCAGACTGACACCAGCAAATATTAAATCCGAAGCAAATGCAACGACACATCTGTATATTAAGTTGTCTGCCAGATGATCAGTTTGCTAAGAATGATAAATCAAATTTCAGAAAGAACAGCATACCACAAATTTGTCAATACTATTAAGAAATATTGGCTTTTTATGAGTTTCAATCATACTCCAAATCTATCAATTATTGATACTAGAACACCATTGAATCGCTTTTCTATAGTGATTACTGCTCCAAAAGTTGAAATGGGTTGTTACCAAATGAAAAATAGCAATATTTACGGTGGCTACCCTGATTTACATAAATGAAGTAGAAGGAGGTACTTACCGGTGCAAAGCTTGGTCATCAGAAAGCGTTCCCTTTGCTCTAAACCAATATCTCAATCTGCACGAAGACTAATTAATTTTGTATAAAAAAAAAAGAGCCACTATTTTGAAGTAAGAGAGGAGTTTCATATGCTTGTCCTCCTGGTGGAACATATGACAATATGAAGATACACTCAAGTGCAGTCAATGATATTTATTGACGACTTAAAGTGAGTTGTTAACCTCGGCGGAGACGTTGTCTGATTTGTTGAATTGTTGGGGTCACAAAATCGAATCTCTATAGGCCATGGAACAAAGTTTGCAGCTGCAACTTTGTTCCGGTAACTCCTGCATAAAAAACAAAAACAATTGGAAGAGTGGTCCAAAATTGAGCTTCTGGAATAGTTTGTCATACATTGGAAAACACTACCACTTACCTAGGTAAATGAGGATCAGTAATACGTCGTTCACGCAACTCCTCCAGTGATAGAAGCTGCAGCAGATAACAGTGAACGGAAAACCCTTAAAATTTATTGAAACACTTAAATCTGGAAAAATGACTTACCGTATCAGGATCTGGCACAGAGGGCATGGTTGACTCCTGGTGATCAAATCCTGGTTGCTCTTTCTATAGTGAAAGAGAAAAATTTAAAAGCAATTTTCACAGTTTTGTGAAAGGCTATTCTATCTTGGTGGCAGATAGTAAGAGGAACGTAGAGATTCATTAACCATCTTGTAAGGGATAAAATGTAAAACCTGAAATGATGCAAACAACATGAATATGATATTTCCTTTCTGTACTGCATCTACTCTTCGTGTGGCAAAGTTGTTCCCATCACGTATGCGGTGAACTTGATATATAATAGGGACTGCAAGAGTAAGAAACTATGATAATTAGATGAATCTAACAGCAGGCTGGGTTTCAGTAGGGGAGAAAAGCATCATTTCTGGCTGGCAAAAGACTAAGATTTTGTTCATACTATCAATATCGCCGACGAGAAGAAAATAGGAATGTAAACTGTGTACTATCTTCAGAAAATCAACAGTTTTTGATGCAGCAGCAAGTGCCTGTAAAATGTTGGTAGAAAGTAGTGGTTATCGTTACCACAGCCCAAAAATGACGCAGAACAAACTGTACATGCACATGGATCAGATCTGCAATGTTTATAGAAACATAATGTAACCGTACTTCAGAAGATGCCATACCTGTCCAACAAATTGTCCTCCAAAAACCTTTCCAAATTTAGGAGCATCAGGTAGTGTGATACCCCTGAAGATATTCAACTACAAGAAAGAAGCACACAGAATAAGACATCATCACATTTCATGTACCAGCACATACAAAATTGTAATATTGTGAAACTAACATAGTTCTGTAGAAATGCTGACAAGAACAATGCTTAGATTAAGTTAATTCTGGGAAATTGTAAAAACGGATAGTTTGAATAGGTAGCATAAAAACTGAGAAGACGTAAAGAACAGCATTGGGATGTCCGTACTTCTAAAGGGTCCAGTTGCAATATGCGTTCCACTAAAGAGCATTTCTCAACTGCTGTATCTGATTGCCAGATTGAATTTGTCTGAAGCAAACGACAATGATCACGCGGCAACACTAAACATGCAAGCTGCAATGACACGGCACAAAAGAAACTTTACACTCTTCTCGTTTGCATATCGTCAGCTCAAGGACACTGAAGCCATATATGCAAAGTACAGAGAGAAGAAAAAATCAGCAAGAACCTCGGTCATAGCAACTATGTCTGCTGAATGAACATGCCCAGAAATACCTATAGAACAAACAAAAAATGATGGAAGCTAGCTATATCACCCAACCAAACGTTCAGCAAAACCATTAACGGATTAAAGTTAAAGAATGGACAGTAAAAAAGTATCATCATCTCACCATGGCCGAAGTAATCATATTGTTTCAAAAGGAATTCGGAACGGTTTTCTTCTTCGGCTGGCTCACAAACCTGAGCCTGCAAACAAGAATCAAAGTTAAACTTGATGTCAATAGCCAGCCACCATGTATCTTCCTTTTAACGAACCTAAATGCATCATAAGAGAAACTTCAAACAAACCTCTCCTTCCAAAATGAAATAACACCCATCCCAAGTTTGATCTTCGCGAACCACAAAATCCCCTTTCCCTGCAACAGATAATAGCTAACCACTTTGAGGCAATAAACATATGAGCTTCAAAAATTCCGAATCAGATTTGTGTTCGAGGGGATTCATTTCAAGGAGAAGAATAAATGAGATTGAGAATCGTCGAGATCACTCACCGTAACGCTTCAACACAACGACTTCAGCGATTTTCCTCAGAGAAGAACTGGGCAACTTCTGAAGTAAAGGAACGTTTCCAAGGAACTCGACAACTGCAAACCAAAGCAATAACATGAAATCCTACGATTGGAGATAAACATAAGCCGAAAATTTCACTACATAAACTCAAATTTTCATCGATCTTCTGAATCCGACGCCGGAAAATTACAAGTGAAAACGTTATCGGATTACCTGCTTCGGTGTTCATGGCGGATCCGGTTAGTCGGAAGAAATCATCTGCCGGTTAAACAAAAAACAATGTTGATTTCCTCGGATTTGGGAAAATGGTCATTTTTTAATTGTTCAAGAAAAGTAATTATCCGGTGCCCTCCGGTTTATGGTAGAATACGTGGGCTCTCGGCTCGTTTTTTTTTTTTCGTCACGTGGACTCGGCTGATAAAACAAACGAAAAAATGCTACGATATAGTAATCTCTTTAGTTTTTTCAATAGATTTTTACAACCTACCACACAAAAGGCTTAAATTTACCTTATTATGGTTACGGCAGATTGTTGAGGCTGTTAAAAGTTTAAACAAAAACGTTTAGAATTATATATATTATAAAAGATGAGTTTAGTGCTTTCTTTGATTGACACGTGTCTCTTTTTTTGTTATGGGAAAAAAATGAAAAGTTGTAATCGTTTGGTTACTCTTAAACTATTTGTAGATGCATTGGATAATTTGCAATAGACCAAATAAATGAAAAGTTACAATCAAATAATGTAAACGTTTTGGTCATGAAACGTCTTGGTTCAATGTATACAAACTCGAAGCATTTTTAGTGGAAATGGTTCAATGTATACGGTTATCTAAATACAAAGCTTCGCACTTTACCTACATCTCTTCTATTTCCTGACAAAATTTTCTAAGGCTATATAAGAAATGGTTCTGTGCTTAATTATCTCCAGAATTTTCTCAACCACTCAAATTATTTTTTATTATTTAAAAAACTGCTCCCATGCAGCGAGTCTCCCCAATCTCTTAAGTGACCTCCCTTCCATTCCGTAGATCTTGAAACCAAACCACTATTTTCTGTACTAAACTCAATTACGTATTCTACCACCGGCGACAAACATCGATTCTCCTTCACCATTGGTATGTTTCTTTTCATATTTAAAATATTACACTAATATTTTTTTTTATTCTCCACAAAGCAAAACCATCATCAATGTATCTTCCACATCCTCAAAGATTTCATTTTTATCTATTCAGTCTCAACCCCACATTGAGATTGAGAGAATGATGGCAGTGGACATCATGGAGATAACAATTAAGGTGCACTACACCATGTCTATAGCAAGGACATTTTAATCGAACCAGTTTCAGTTGAATGTGTACGGTTATCCAAATTCAAAGTTTTGCACCTTTTTTTTTATTTGCATCTCCTCCATTTCCGGTCGAAATTTTATAAGACAAGAATCTACGTGATCAACAAATCAATCACGAAATTTTGGGGGGACAAATCCAATAGGTCAAAAAAAATCAAAATAGCATCCTCTATTTTTCGATACAAAGTTTTAACCTCTATTCTAATATTTGTAAACAAGAACGTCCATAATATCAGTTCTTACAAATCAATGACAGAAACAAAGATTTGGCATGTAAAGAACAAATCAATTTGGTAAATGATAAGAAAAGGAAATAATGTGTAGTGGTTATGGAGGGATATACAGTTTCATTCTTTCGTTCATGCATAATGTTTTAGGAAAAAAATATATAAAAAATGTTATGACTTTATGATGATAGCAAAGATCTTACAAACATCGTGTTAAAATAATACACTTCAAAGAGTATGCAAACAAGAATGTTGTAAGGTAAGGAGAAGATTGATTCAGCAGCGAGGGCATGTGGAAGAGAATAAGAGACATAAGCGAATGCATTCCATATTGGCAACTTTTTAGTATTCAAATCACTTATATATTGAGTTGGTTCTAATGTGGTGGCTAGGAGGATTTGGCATGATGATGCTAACTCTTTTGCTCAATTTCAGTCAACAAATGAACAAAAAGATGTAAATTGAAATGATCAAATTATATTTCTCTAAAGAGAGGAAATAATCTTTTTCTCTTTTTTTTTCAGCAGGGAATAATCTATATTTGTAAATAAAATGCAGAAATTATTGAACATTAAAAAGTTACAACAACGCACCGTGAAAATATGACAAAAAACAAAAAAACGAAAACTTTGTTCAAAAGTAGTGAGACAATACAATGTAAACAAATATGAATTCAGGTTCATTTTGCAGTACCAAATTTATATTCTACTATTTAACTACAGATTGAAATCTGATTACATATTTGATTAAGACAAAAAACATATAAAGATTATGAACATACCTAATCTAAAAAACCATAAATAAAATACAACAAACAAACTTTTATATTACGAATGTGCACGCGCATGTGCGGGCTAAGAAACTAGTTATTATTATTGTTGAGTTTTTTTCTTCCCATGCAAATATTCTTTCATTTAATGTTAAAAAGGTATTTATTTGGAATATTTAAGAAAAATGTGGACGATTATTGCATTGTCTTTCTCAAAGTCTTACCACGAGTGTCTTCGGATTTTATTTTTTCTAACACTGCATTTTTA